TAGTAAAGCTGCAAAAACAAGCTTTTCTTTTGGTTGTTTGGGACAAACTTTGTAATCCACTGAAGCTGTACAACTATACCAGCTTTGTTGAAATTATGATCAGAGATAGTTTTTAATATTCGTATTTTTCCAGGAAAGAATGTGAATTTGTCGTCAGAAAAGGTGTCCATCTTTTAAGAAGCAACCCTCTTTATTCAGGTTAGGTGGCTGAAATAATGTCTTTGAAAATGTTGTTTTAGTGAATCCCTCTTTTAATGCACTAAAATGTATTTCATACCCTTATATTGTACATTAATATGCCTGGTCTCTGTAATGATTGGCTTCAGAGTAGACCAACTTCCAGTTTTAGAGCATTTGAGTATTTATTTTCCTCATTTTTTTTATCTCAGTAAATATATAGATATATATATGTGGTTTTAAAAAAAATATCCCTCAATTAATAGTGAATGTTACACAACACAGTTGAAGGGCAGTAACCTTTATTTTTGTTAATGGAAGTCCATTTCAGTGTGTTGTTTGTAACACTATATTCCTTAATGGTGTCAGTTCTGCACAGAAAAGCCTTCCCTTGACATATTTGCCTGTGCTGGGAATGTTGATCTTTAAAAATCAGAAAATAATGTGTGTATGTAATCAATATTTGTTCCATTCCATGGAAATTACAGGTATGTTGTACATACTGCCAATGGTTGTCTTGCAAGTTAAGGCATACCTTTATTATGAGACTATAAATAAAACTATTTTATCCTTTTTGGATGTACTTGTGACTCAGAGTGTGCTTATTAACTTCTTTCACCAGTTGAATGTATTAAATGAAATATATGGGGTAAATCTTAAATATGTTCTCCAGTGGTGAGGTGTGGATGCTGAAAAAAAATAAAAAGTGAAGATAATAGTCTGCAGGATTTACATGAAAAATATCTTTATTTCTGACTGCTTAGCAAATAGATTATTTTTTCCATCCTTTCTTGTGCTCTATTAATGTATGCAGATTTTGTATGATTAGGCTCACCATAAGTCTACCTCCTTTAATTTTTTTCAGCAGAAGTGGATGTTAATGAAACATTTTCTGCAGGAAACATGGCTGAATCTTGGAATGTGCTGACCAGACCATGCAGTTTTTATGCAACTTGGCTTGAAGTGATTGTAGAAAGTCTATTATGAAATCTGTCTAAGGAGAAATTAAGACAAGAACACACAAAGAAAGAACTCTAACCTGATGGGAGAGGAATATGCATAAAAAACTTGATGAAATGTAGAATTGCAAAAAAAAAAAAAAAAAAAAAAAAAAAAAAAAAAAAAAAAAAAAAAAAAA